TTATTGTACTCTCATTATACAGTATGGCTGATGCAGACATTAAAAGAGCCTAAATTGTGATTTGGTTTTATGCTGAATTTTAAGCATTTCTGGGAAAACCTATACAGTATTTGTTTGTTCTAATTACAGGCAAGGCAAACCATATTAATTTAATTTAGGCAGGTTTAATGTTCTGAGTAAGTACTATTTTTCAAATTGTAACTCTGGGAATTATAATCAGTTTATAAACTGAATATAAATTAAATATTCATATATATATAGGTTTTTTATTTTTTTGATGATGCTTAATCATACTCTGTGCTTTGTGTGTATGATATGTGTTTTATACTTTGAAAAGGGTCACAAATGCTCATATTTGTCATTCACTTTCTATCAGATTATTTCATTCACAAGACAAGCAATATGCATTGATGTGAGACAAACAAAATAAATACTGTGTAACATATATTCTAAATGCACAGCCTACAGTACCTACTGTATATGTATTTCCAGAGATTTTTCTTGTTCTAAAAAAGGTACTTTTGTGCGAGCCAAATTTATTTTTTTCTGCTATACTGTGGAACAATTATATCCTTACAATTGTGTTAGCCATTGATGTAGACATTGCAGCAAGATGTCTAATATATGTATGATTTTAATTTATTGGTACACTGTTGGGTATTTTAATATGGTGGATCGAATCCTTCACCATACAGTATACGTTGCCAGATAAAACAAATGCCAATGAATTTGGCATGACAATAGAAATTAATGTCAGCTTGACAGCAGCTTTGCAGATCCATGCATTTTTAATAAAGCAAGATAATTCTGTAGTATATCATAAAAGCTTATTAGGGGACTAATTAAAGGAAATCTTATTACTGGATTGAATAGGTAAGCTGAGGTTTAAACTAGGTGAAAACACATTATCAGCAGAGAACTCAAAATCAAGTTTCATGAAGGTGGGAAGTTGTCAAGGCCTGTTAGGATTCCTGTATCCTCCACACTCAGCCAGCAAGGCTTTGGAAACCAAATCCACAATGTCAGAATGGGTGGAAGAACATAAAACACTGGAAGATATCTTGAAATATCTCAATGGCTCTGCTAGAGGACAATGCCTGCAGCAAAGTCTCCATTTATTTTTAGCTCTATGCCACTGGGTCAAAGGCCCTTACTGTCAAGATATGTGTGGAAGTGCAATGGTTTTTCTACAATAAAAGATGCCATGTTTGGTATTTTCCATCCCCAGAACTCCACCCCCTTTGGTATCTACTGTAACTAACTATCACGATCGCTAACCCCTCCTCTTAAGGGAGCTCCAGCCCTTCCTCGTTCCTTCCCATTGTCTGCACCTGTTCCCTATTCCCGTTCCCCCTTAAAAGCCAGACGCTGACCTCACTCCTGGCTTCTCATTGATTTCCGTGTCGTGAGAGCGCGGGGTCCTGCTGCGTCTGGCTCCGTTATGGTTTTAGTTTCCTGGTCCTGATTCCCTGCCCCGCCGGTCCCGACCCGGTTCTGGTTTTAACTACGGATGGATCCCCTGGTCTTGGACTAAACCTCTCGTCTTGGATTCCTCCTCTGGATTTACCCTTGGATTGTTCGCCCTGGATTCACTCCCCCCGGACACTAGCACTGCATGGACACGCCCCCCTGTCTCCTGACCGACTCCTGCATGATATTTTTCCCCTTGTGTCTTCACTATTCTGGATTGCGTCGTCCGCATAGGGCCCGGAAAGAACTGTTCGTGACAGAATGAGAAGCCAACACCCGGGCCCCGCGGACGGCGTATTGGTACCTGGACTCCATCCTTTTTTTTTGGTTTAGGGCTTCGGAGCCGCCCTGGAAAGGAGGGGCGTACTGTCACGATCGCTAACCCCTCCTCTTAAGGGAGCTCCAGCCCTTCCTCGTTCCTTCTCATTGTCTGCACCTGTTCCCTATTCCCGTTCCCCCTTAAAAGCCAGACGCTGACCTCACTCCTGGCTTCTCATTGATTTCCGTGTCGTGAGAGCGCGGGGTCCTGCTGCGTCTGGCTCCGTTATGGTTTTAGTTTCCTGGTCCTGATTCCCTGCCCCGCCGGTCCCGACCCGGTTCTGGTTTTAACTACGGATGGATCCCCTGGTCTTGGACTAAACCTCTCGTCTTGGATTCCTCCTCTGGATTTACCCTTGGATTGTTCGCCCTGGATTCACTCCCCCCGGACACTAGCACTGCATGGACACGCCCCCCTGTCTCCTGACCGACTCCTGCATGATATTTTTCCCCTTGTGTCTTCACTATTCTGGATTGCGTCGTCCGCATAGGGCCCGGAAAGAACTGTTCGTGACACTAACTAGCCTTATCAGTTACTTATGGATTCATGGAAGACTATCGTCCTTGACTGTAACAGATAGTCAATGATACCATAATCAGTCCTTCAAGACAAGAAACTCCAATACATTTTAACACTAGGTCAACTGTTAAAAGTTCTGATTCCAACAAAGGACTCCAACATGAGGGGACTGAACAAGCAGACGTCTCACAATGGATGGGACATTCAAAACTTGTTTTTTGTCTTTTGCTTGTTTCTCAGTCCAGTATCCCACTCTGTACTTTGTCTTATTTTCACATCTAAGACCATTACTTCAATTGGCAAAATGTGTCATCATGCACATGGCGAATTCAATTACGTGTGCCATATGTGCTTCTGATTAGATCAGGCTGTCCCTGCATTTTACATAAGATAGATATTCCCTAGAAATAATAAGAGCATCTTAACACTTTCAAATAAAAATAAATCACAACAAGCACAAAATTAAGTGCCACAAAAGTGGCAAAAATTAAATGAAATAAGTATTGTCTTTAAAATATTACAACTGAGAAATAAAATGCTTTGTGACCAATCCAACCTGAAGTTGTGATGTAACTGTTTTGCAAACAGTTTTTTTTTGGAAAAAAAATACTTTAGATGACAGGAAAATATAATGAATAAAAAATGAACTGGATATGTAATGATTTTCTCTTTTCATTTCAAATAACCTGTCAAAGTCAATATACCTTTGGTGGACGGAGAAAGTAGTACTCCATATACAAATGCATGGTAGGGATATTTATAACATACATAGTGTATAAGATTTCAAACAGAGTTATCTTGTGTACTAGGCTCTTGCACAGTTCTCCACAATTTTCCCACAGGATCCAGAACCAGCTCACGGAGAGGGGTTACATACTGTACAAACCATGCTTGTATTCTCCCTTTTAAATGTACAGGATGTGAGCTTCTGCTGCACATTTGCTGCAAAGTATCATGCTCTTCACTCATCACATCATCTCTTTGAAATTGTCTAAAAAGTAGATATGCCATGAACTGGGCAGGAGCTTTTGGCTGTAGTTTTAGTTGCTTTGATTCTATGAATAGAGCATCACTCCTACTTACTGGCCCAGCCATTGGTAGCCATTAAATTTAAATCAGCTATAGAGCAAGAGTGTCATAATGCCATTTTCTAGTTTTCTCTTATCTTTATGTTTCCATCAACCTAAAGTCTTCCAGTACCTGACAGACGCCTTTATTTGTAAATCACACTCACTCTATAGAATTCATAATGCACGGGACCATCTGGGCATGTGTTAGGACTCATAAAGGTTGTGACTTTTCCTCCCTGTACATCAAAATGTCCTTGAGGACTAGAGCCCCATCAGCCAATGGGGAACTTAATTTCAAAGCCATAGTCAATATCTTGAACACCTTTAAGCATTTTGGGTCACCATGTTACATACTGTTAATAACAATATCAATTTATAGTTGTTCATGGTGTCTAGTAAATAGGATGATGGGACGATTGCCAGTGACTAGCAATATTGCAAATTACTCCATTTACTGAATGGTTTATGGTATCCCTACACTGGAATACTTTAGAACAGGGATACTCAATTTGCAGACCTGCCCGTCCGTTCCATTGTTGTTTGTTGATATAAACAGCTCCTTTATGGCAACATAGCTTATTCTAATTAGCAACTGAATGATGTAAGGGCTGGTTGTAGCAAAAATGTGTAATCAGGAGCAGGCTGGTGGGGCCACAAGCTGAGCAGCCCCACATTAGACAGATTTGTACCTTTGTTACAGACAAATTATAAATATTGTTTTTTTCTTTCCAAGTGACTTCACCCTGAGTAGGCTGTTGTACAATAGCTCAAATACAAGACAACTCCCCTCCCACCTTAAAATGTAAACTACTTTGCATGCAACTACTTTGTACAGTATATATATATAGGATGTATATATTCAATATTTTTATTTAATTGTATGTAATACTTTAGCATGGGTTTCTAGCATGTAACTGTAACCATACACTATGTATCACTAGAACACACCCTGGAATTACTGCTTAGAGCTACTGTATCTATCCTGTATAGCAAAAAACAACTGGGAAGAGGTCCCGCATGCTGATAATGTTTGGGGATATTTATTCATGTCAGGTTATGCTCCTCCTCTGCTCCTTACTGCGGATATGAGTCCCTCAGGACTGCAGTTTGCTGCAGGTGAAGTCACATAACAACTGGAAGACAGCAAACTTTCTGGACTATACACAAGAACTTGAAATAAATTCTCTAAAGTAATTTGAAAGTAATATATTTGGATAGAAATATATTACTTCACTGATTATAATAGGAGTAATTTATCTTCACAGTGTTTTCTCTCTAGGCTTGTACAATTGAAATAATTTAATTCAGCTTTTGTTTCTTAATTTTGCCATCATAGGACAAAATCAATTTATCCATTCATAGAAAGCTGCTTATTTCTGGTAACGTTTGTGGCAACCTGGAGCCTAATACACCCTGCCTGTAGCAGGATACACACAGTGACAATTCTGAGACAATTCTGTTAGGTGTGCCAACATTTGCTGGGCAGTGGGAGGAAATTGGAAAATGCCATAGCACCATGCTACCCAACAGGGAGTAAATATTCGCACCAAAAACACAAAGAGATAGTTCACACTTATTAACACAAATGAATATTTCATGAATAAGCTGAGAAGCATACTGACCTCATCAAATCGGGCTTCATCTTCACAGTTCTCTAAAACCCGTGTGTAAAATGAAAGACCTAGAGGGGACAGCAGAAAAGCAGAGTGGTTTCAGTGTTAGAAAAATCAGCATGACTTTGTTAAATAAAGCTGTAAAGAAATAAAAATATTAAAAATATTAAAATAAGATTTTGAGAGCTAATCATGCTATTATGATTACAATATACAGTAACATTTTTAGATTTTTTAAGCAAGACACATCTGTAACACATTCTGTTATATGGCATTTTTGTTCACGTATTTCTTCAGGTGAATGAATAAATCTGGGGGTATAAATCCATATATACAGTAAATATATAATTCTACTATATTAATCCAGTTGTACAAGATAGAAATTAATTATCGATTTGATTTATTATTTTAAGTAAATACAGAAAAATATAAAAACAAGTGAAAGTGATAAGTGTAAACATGTTACAGTCACCCAACCTATAAACCCTAAGGTGTTCTCATCTAATATTACTTTTTTACATTTTCAAATTTCAAAACAAAATCAGCAGGTATTGTGGCCCCTTTATAAAAAATAATCTAGTATGATTGATCTGATCTTTGTGTTTCATTATGCTCTTATGTACCACTGAAGCCTAACCTACAAACTACAGTTCTCAGTGCTGACAAATTACATAGATAACTATACTTTCACCTTTACACAAAGTACAAAAATGGGTTCAACAAAAATGCCTTTAACAAATATGTCTTTATTTTCTTAGTCCTCCTGTGCCAAGAGAATCATTTTAATACAGAATATAACACATGTGTATGCCATATAATATGTTTGTAACTATACTTAAAAGTTCTCTACTTTTTGAAATGCACAGTAGATTGTACCAAGCAATATCTGAGAAGTTAACCTGATGATGTCTGAATAACTATAAAGAAAATTAAATAGAAAATCTGTTCTTGAAATGTTATTACGTTTAGAATGTTCACTGTTAGAACCACTTTGCAAGTATTTATTTTCCCTAAATACAGCCAGGAGTTCATCTTGTCTAACCAGAACTGTATTATTTTCTGAACAAGTCAATTTTCTATCCATCCATTTTCTAACCATTTTATCCAATACAGGTTTGAGGCAGAGCCAGAGCCTATCCTGGCAAGCAGTGGGCACAAGGCAGGATACACCCTGGATGGAATACCAGTCCATCGCAGGGCACACACTGACACACACACAGACACAAACATGCACATACACACAAGAGAGTCAACTTTTCAAGTCACCAATTAACCTACAGTAACAGTATGTCTTTGAACTCTGGGAGAAAGCTTCAAATAACCCACGCAAACATGCAAAGAACATAGAAAAAAAGGAAAAAGGCTGCACATCTCTAGTACTGTATGTGTCTTCCTACAGTACATACAGTACATACAAACACCATCACCTTCTTTACTGTTTTAAAAGCACTTTTGCTTTGAATATACAGGTAAGTGTCCAGATCTATTATGCTGTGATAAAGTGATCAATTCTCTGGTATGATATCTATGGATGATTCACAGCTGATTGATTGCAGGACAACAGACACAGGGAAATTATTATTTTTCATATCTTTTTTCATAAATGGTGTGTAGAGGTTCAAGTGTGGAGCTGCATCAGCATGTAAGCTGCTGAGGAACAAGCAGATTTTTTGCATGAAATTAACCTCTAGTTGTTAAGGTTGTGTATACAGTATCGCTTATCCATTAGTACAGTACTTTATATCAGGTACTGTATGTTAGAGCAACTGTAATTTAAACATATCACAATATTAATGTGCCGAGGTGCTGACAAGTCAATGTAATTTCATGCATTTTACATAAAGGATGTAGGGATGGTAATGTTTCATTAGACAAGAAAACTTCTTTTCTTTTCAAAAATCCAGTAAAAACCCTGAATTCATACAGTATAACCACAGTCTTAAAGTCCTCATATCCAAAAAATACACAACCTTCAATACTCTGAATGTTAGGAAATAATAGTATAAAGTGATTTTAGATTATAGGATGCTTATAAATTCAAGAATACAATCTGGTTACTAATTAATTTATTTAATTCATTGTCATCCTTTAGAAAATAAAGTAAGGCCATAAGTATCAGGTTTAACTAACAATCAACAGTAATTAGAGGTTATTAAAGGTTAGAACACGGATGGATGCACTTTAAAACAGTTCATGTAATTATTAAATCAGCTATAAATTGTCTCAGGCCTGGATTTAAAACAAGTTTTGCAAACTGTCTCAGGCCTGGATTTAAAACACGTTTTGCAACCTGTGCCAGCTGCAAATTCCAAATCAATTGTGTTGTGATGGTTTTCCAAAGTTCCAAAGAATCTGCTGGAATCAGACACCTAACATGAACCGGTTCATTTGGAACTTCACTATTGACATAATCAGGGTATTAGCCTTGTTCATTTTGTGCCATAAAAAATAAATTGCAGATTCGACTAATATCAGACAACACCTGAATCGATAAATGGTGAGTTTTATTTTCAACTACATTTCTGGGTGCAAAAAAAAACATTTCCGAAACTACATAGTTATTCCAAAACCAATTATCTCCATAATACATCAAAAGCACAGACTTGTCTAATCCACTCCTAAAAATCCAATTTAATCCCTTGTTAGATTTAGTCTTGATTGTTATTTTCCTTACTCTACTACTCATTATTCTTATAATTCACAGTTTTCACCACTCAGGGGCAGCCAGGAGGATTCAGAAGGTTGGTGGCTGAAGTGGTGAAAGCTGAATCAAAAGAACAACGAGTTTGAATGAAACAGGCTATACACACACTGTACCTGTAGAGTAGCAAGATTCACTAATGGGTTATCTTATTGTGAGTAAGCTTCCGTGATTTTCATTGTAATCAGTGTGCATATACAGTAAGCTTTTCTTCATAGCAGGGAAAAATTGAGGAATGTCAAAAATATTACTTTCATAACTGAAAAACTGAACCCTATTTAATCATGTCTCAGGGCTATAACACAGCTTTATAAGGTCAATAAAATGCACCTTACATATCTATTTGGTTTCTGCTGTTGCGCCTTTTTCTTTACACACATAAGTAAAATAAAGATAAATTGTTAAATGGAAAATCTTCAAATCTGATGCCATGAAAGACCAATGATAATGCAAGTATTTGGGGACAGGTATCCTTCAAATGTGATGCTTAGGACAGAACTGAATACACAGCAAGTTACACTCATGAATGTGGCAGAACCATGTAATAAACCACATACAGTACATCTTAAAAGAACACAGGGTAACAACATACTGTATAAAGCCTTAATGCTGACATTGGATTATTATAGCATGTAGATCAAAACCATTTGTTTTTAAAGGGCAAAAGAACTTGTAGATTTTCTCCAGATGTTAGAATAAATTCATTTAAATTGATTAAGCTAGCAATAGATTAATGATAATTAAAGCTGGAAAACTGCATATCTGCTCATTAAAAGTTTTATTTTATACTATATTAAAGGGGATTTTTAAATAAGCAAAGAGAAGACCTGAACTGTCTTTTAATTGATGTCTGGGACAAATCTCACACAAAGACATACTGTACAGTAAAGTATTGTCAGAATTGATTGCGTAATAATTCCTCAAATCCATAAATAAAACCAAAATCTCTGCTCCACAACCTGACATACCATATGCATCTGGAACAACGAAGCTGTTTATAGCATTTTCCAAATGACATTAAGCATTACGACACAAGAAACAGAGCTACATAAAGCTATGTTAAAAACAAATCCTCTTGAATGGAACATGGTTCATTAGGCAACTATCAAATGTATGGGAATAAACTGCACTCTGGAATGATTGACATTTTTTAAATGAAGAGATAATAAAGTGTAATATCCCTATGATTAAATGTTTTCTGAATAGCTTTTCTAAATGAACCATTCATGACTAGGATTCATTGCCTTTTCCCATACTGGGCTTCCTAACCCAGTAAATACCAAAACATATTAACTGCAGTTTTTCATCAGGTGATAGACATTTTCTGCAAAACGGCAGACCAGTAATGTGCACAAAAGGCTAAAGGATAATAATAAAAAAAACCTAGCAGCGTGATGGTCATTTCCTCATCAAGGCAGTAAGAGAAACATCCTCTTCCCTTGTTTTTTATGATTAGACTGGAAATCTGAGCTTTGTTCACTATTACTTGTCATATAATATAATCTTACATTTCTATAATTTTTCAGAATAAGCACTGTAAAGTTTTTACTGAAATCAATATTGTCATGATAACATATACTGTATGTTTTTCACTCGAGGTCATAACCTTTTGCCTAGTTGGTTGTTTAATTGTCACTGAGATCGCTTTTTTCTGAATGTTGTTATAAAGTGTGTCAGATCACACACTGAAGACACACAATCCCAACTACTCAAACAGTGCAACTGAATAAATGAATCTCTATCTGAAAATGTATACAGTATATGCATAGCATAATCTCAAAGCAGTAAAACTGGAACTCAATTGGCAAGGCTACTAAGCCCATTAATTTTCATGTGACATATTAATGAAGGGACACTGGCAGCTCACGTTTCCATAGTAACCCATTATTATTACTAGTATTGATGTAAGACATTTTTAACTGTATATTGTTGTTAAGACTTAAGATCAGGAGATACCTGTGGGGCCTATATTACAACTTTACCACTGAAACACAACTTATTGAGTGTTAATAATAATTCACAATTTTTTTATATTCACAAAGGGTATGCATTGGGTAATTATTACTGAAAAATGGTCATTAGAACATGGCCATCCTTTAGGACACTGGCTCTCCTTCATGTGTTAAGTGTTTATTACCCATACATAAACATATGCCTTACAGATGTCCCATACTATATTCTATACAAACAGGTGTCCTACAGTATGTTCTTACACTTTTCTTTTATGGCTCTTATCTTTCTTATACTTTATATTTCTGTTATGCTTAAAATTGTTTGACTACTAAAATGTCCTGTTGTCTGGCTGATACTGACGCATGCTAACTCATGTCCTGTACTCAGTTCAGGCTAAGGCGTCTGGCAATTGACTCCCACAGGTCAACTCTCAGCCCCCACAAAGTGAAAAGTCTTCTGGGAAAACAAGGTTCCTTTGGGATAAGATCCCCTGCTGTTACTCTGGATCTTATCTTAAAAGTGACATTCCAATGACGTCATCTGGGATGTGAACACTCTCCTTCTGGAAATGGAGGTGGAAATGATATGAACGATATGAAAGAAGTGCTTTGATTTGTGAATGCTTTGTTGCTGGTGAAGAGCTATCCAGATGAAAAATGATGGGAAGCACAGCTGCTCTTTAAATGTTTTTACGATAAAATAATCTAAGTACAGTCAATGTATTGATTTGAACCTTTATTTGTGGTTCAGATCAAACTATATGCCACTATAAGTCTTAAAACCATATAACTAGAAAGTAATCTTCAGACAAGTTAAATTACGCAATTAATGTATTTACATTGCACAAAAAATAAATATTGGTACTGTATTATCCAAATAAAAAAGCGAAATAATTTCCTATTTCATTGTGACATGCTTTTTTATTCATGCGTGGTTTGAAAGGAGATATTGTCTTCCTGCAGAGCAACATCCTTCATGGAAAGGAATTCATATTTCATTAAATATGTAATCTCTACTAACAAAAAGCAACATTTTTGCATTACAGCACGTACAAAGATACATGTATAAAGCGATCAAACCAAGGACCTCTTCAATAGTATCAAGCTAATATCTCTAGGCAAGAAAAAAAGGGAAACCATTTACAATAAATACAGCATGTTTAAAGAATAAATTTGATGTATTTGCAAGACAGCAGTGTTACAGTATATACTGCCTGTACTACTTTTTTAATTTTGAGTTGCAATAAGTACTGTAAATTGCTCCAACATGTTTGCTGCTATTTTCAGTTCTAACCATTAAAAAAGAACAAGATTAACTTAAAAAACATCCTTTCAAATTATATAAGTGTGAAATGTGACAGGGAAACAAATTATTGCTGCCTAGTACATGGAAGCTCATTAGAGGCTCTCCAGCTCGTGACACACTGTGACACTTTCATTTCCCACTTTGTCTTCTCACACTCAGCCCAACTGAATCGTTTCTGTAGAGTATTGTTGGTTTTGGGGCTAATCAAGGCACCCTCAGGAGAGCTGTAGAAAAACAGCACCACTGAAAACAGAAACAACAATAACAAAGCTGACAGAATCAGCCAAAACCTTAGAAACAAAGGCAGGAAAGTAGATGAAAATGGAGACAATATACACTACCTCTTTCAGATGTGAAACATCTTGTTCTTAGGAACCTCGTTTTACATAATCAGAGTGGAATTTCAAGTAGAACAGTAAATATCTGGACACCCTAGAATTCTGAAACATTCAAAACTTTCAAAATCCCTACGTGGCATTAAAAATTAAATCAACAATAGTAAGATCACTATATAAGACACTGCAGCATTAAAATGCAACACATTTATTTATCCTTGAGGTTCCAAATAAAGCATTAATGTCTGGTGGTTATTTTTGTTGAGGTTGTTCATTGATAGTGCCCACTAAAACACTGAATAATGCCACCCCATTAACAGCAGCAATAAAATACTGCAATGAAATTGTGAGTTTTTAACAGTGAACAACCACTCTTCCCTTTCACCAATGATGAAAGAGCACTATTAGTAAACTAAAATATACCAGATAACCAGAGCTGAATAATTGTACTATTAAACAATTTTGATATTTTTTTGTAAATAGCCTTTTATAAGTCATATATTTAAAGCTGGGTGATGAACATTAGCTTTTCCACATTTTGGTGTCCATGCCAACACATTGAAAAGCCTGATCTGTAATGGAAAGCATGGGATGCTATGCAGTTCTGAATCCGGGATTTGGAGTATTACTACTCAATCAATAGTCTCTAATGGACTGAGACAGATTTCCTGTGCCTTTACACTCAGCATATCCCTAGGCTGCAAAGAAAAATTCCTTTTCAGATTATAACCTTCCATGATTCCAGACTGAAATGTAACAAAAATTTAAAAAAATAATATTCAGTATTTAAATCTAAAAATCTTATTTAAACCTTGTACATGAAACGAATGATCTGCCAACATCCTTGTGCTCAAGTAATTACATTTGTGCACAATTGAGCACAATGTTAGTGTTCTCTCATATTTGCTACATTACTCTTTTTTAACTTAGACTGACAACATTTCAATGGTATCTTTCAGACTTTCTTTGTGTAGTTGGTAAAAGGACTCTTTAGTATCTAATTTTAGTTCATGCACAGCTTTCATGATCAAGTACTTGCTCAGTACTGTTGTAAATTAGATAGAAGGTTAGCCTTTTTTAGACAAAAACAACAAAACGACCCAAATGTTAACAAAATAGACAACTGTATGATCAGAAACTGCTCATGTGTGTTTTTATACATTATCTAAACTAATACATTATTAAGTGCTGCAGTAAAAGCTGCTGTGGGCCAAAGCGTTTAAATCTCAATCATGGTTAAATCATGTTTAAAAGGGAAAAAGTATCCATCTAGGAAAGAGATAAAACTTCTACCACCATGGAGCTAAAATAATAAATCTGCACATAACAAAGCAGGCCTATATTTAACTGCACTTAACTCAGTACTACCATCTTTCCTGTTATATGGGCAATTCAAGCTACAGTACAGGCTGTTATTTTTCTCTGCTGCCTCTCAGTTTGAAAACTATTACACAATGCGTAAAAAATAAAAATGCCAAATAAAAAAATTATAAAACTATGCCCTGAAATTAAAATTAATTTAAAACAGTATTAACAACACAAACAAAAGGTATTCAAACTGGAACAACATTTTGTGTGAAACTCTCCAGATGACACCACAATAATTTGTTTTAACACATCAGCATTAGGAATATGCTTGGATTTGTCAGACAAAGGCATAAAAGCAGCATGTTAACGGTTGAGGATTTTAATATAATAAATTAGTTTTGCATTAAGGTATCTGATGTATTCACCACTTCTGTTTTTGTTGCATGAATTTAAAAATTTAAAATATACCACAATTTCAGACCTCATTTTCCTTAAGAAAAAGTTCAGGCTTTACTTAACAAAACTATTTTAGGAAGATGTTTATAATCTTAAATTTTCTGTCACCTTTAGTTGCAGTAATGCCTGGGTTAAGCAACACCAGTATCAGTAAAAAGCTCCTACGTTTCTGTAGGAAGAATCTACAAAACGTTTAATTTCCAAAAAGTAAAAAAAAAAACTTAATAAAAGAGGAATTTGATCGGCATTAAAGTTCGTTATTGCTGTTCAGTATATAGCAACGACAAGCTCTATTCTGAAGCACCATAGAAAAAGGGATGAGCACTAACGTTAGTGTCCCACAGTGCAAGGCATGCTACACAACACTGAAACATTACTGCAAACAATTCACTGCCACAAGCTATGAGCTCTCTGTTGTGTGACTCATTAAGCTTACTCTAAGGCAGAAAGACCAATTGTTTTAGCAGCAATTACACAAACACGGATGGGATTTGGAATGGGTGCATATTAATATCGGAGGTTAAACAGTTAAAAACTTTTTTTTTCATGAATTATACTGTACATAACACAGCGTAATACCTCGAAATGCCACTTTGGCGATGCGGTCCCCCTTTCCTCGGAGATCTGTAACCGTTTTCAGGTGGACAATCAGAGCCATTATAAGTTAGATAAGGTCCGGTACTTTGGGAGAAATCACCTGCAGTTTTATCCCAAAACAAAAAAAATATATAGTATTTTTCTTCACTGAGAATGTACCTCTAGACAGAGCATTTCAGAGCTTCTTTTAGTGATGAAAATAATTCTCCTGCCATTATGTACCAACACCAGATCCGCTTTTGTTCTGCTGACTGAGAATATTTTAAATTATTAAACAGCTTTCATTTTATCCCGCTGGAAATTGCGCTGACTGGGTTCACGTGCTCTGCACCCAGTATCTGCTGCGTTACAGCGGTGTTTCAGTCTCACCGTGAAGTCAAGTGCTTGGAAAAGTGCCGTAGGAGGGCGTCAGCGGCGCAATAAACCTACCATTCAAAAGATAGGTTCACTATGGATGCGATAGGATGGGAGCTGGGTTGATGCATCCGCTAATGTATAATAAATACAATTTTATATTTATTTTAAAAATAATCTCCAAGTTTATTTTTTGGCAGCCTGATTCATGTGCGCTAAGTGTTTTATAGGCGCTTATAAAGCTTAGATGAATGCACTGTTCCAACTACATTTTGCTCTTTTATTTATCGAAACATTTTTCACCTTTTACTGTGAAATACGTTTGAGTTTCACAATACTCAATGTCATATGGAACGAAGATCTATTTACATATTATATTTATAGAACATATTATTTTTATAGTCTATATATAGTATAATTTGCTATGATTTTAATTATCATGGGAAACACGTAAAGTGAGACACCACAAATGTAACAGCTTAAATGCATGTCCTATCGATGATGATTGTTTTCCACGTAGTCATTTATAAACGGATCACATTGTCGGGTTTTTTTTTTGCAGAAATCATACGAGCTCAGTTAAACGTCAATTATCCTCTTAGCCGCGCAACAAAGTGCTCTCCGCGGAACCTTTGCGCTGTACAATCTGCCTGAGCTTTTGTTTGTAGCTTGTGAAGAAATTCCGCAGCCTCTGGGACACTGGTGCCTCTATAGTCAACTCATGCCCTCTCCACTACTGTTACAACTTGCAAATACTGTACATCTTCTGTTTTTCTCCTTAAAATGTGTGTAAACTGCATATGCAATGTTATGTTGAAAACATTAAAAACACTGTAAATGTTCAAATGTTTAGAATCAATGATCAATATAAGCATAGCAGTATAGTATTTTTTTTTACATTCAATCTCATTGAGCAAGAGCAAGATGTTAAGTTCCAAGAATATAAAAGATCCCAAACAGGTTTTAGAGAAGTGTGTAATTGCATATTTATTTTTAACAAAGTGAGATTTGTTATGAATCGGTACGCAATTGAGAAACTGTGAAGTGTTCTACTAAAAAGTATACATGAGTTCATTTTTAACATATTTTTAACTTTGAAGTTTAAAATAATGTCAGTTTAACCTTGTCAGCACAACACTCTCTCTATTTACAATAATTGTGCTGGAAGACACACTTTCGGCTTTGATTAGCTGGAAAGAGGAGGGGGCTTCGGAGGTTTTTGTTATAAATAAATAATTATCCTGTCATGCTAAAGCACTCCAGGCAATTATAAGCCACCCTTAGGATAATTTGTTCAAAACAAGGAGATTCTGAAACACACTGGAAAGGCAGCATTTGGATTCTTTCAGGACAGTTCTGTAACCTCCAGAAAATTCTACCCTCTGAGGGACAGGTACCTCAAATTCAAGACATAAAAACACATGGAAGGCCAAAAAAGAGAGAAAGCCATTGTTGCTAATTGATTGAAGGATCTCATCCAGCCATTTCTCAAAAGAAGCAAGGGTATGTCTTCAGTAAATCTGGAAATCTTGTTCCATACTCTCACAATTCTTTGGGTAAAGAAGTGCCTCGACTAAATGAACTTCCATATAGTTTTCACTTGTGTCCTGTTGAAGTTTTTATTTCAATATACAGGTAGTTGTAGTTGTAGTTTTAATTTCACTGTTCATGTTGAAGAGGTCCCATGGTTGAATGCAATGTCTTTGGGGATTTCGAATACTTATATCAGGTTTCCTTTAAATCTTCTCTGTTTAAGACTTATAATTACATAGGGGATCTGATACCAGATTTCAAAATAATGAAGCATGGTACTGTACTTTTGAGACCCACTGTAAGTGTTTTTAAATGTCAACAGATCTCTTGAATTACTGAAAACTGAAAAGGTGTGGTGATCCATTGCCTTGCTGTACTTGTACATTGCAAATGTCATGTGAGAAATCCCTTTTTATCCAAGTACTGTAAATATCCAAGTAAATCCTTTATACTGTATCTTGTAATACCACTGATATCGCTGCCCTGTGTTTTAAGTTTCCAGGATATTCTACCGTGAGAGTGCATTCAATTGACTTACATTTTTTTGTGGTTTCTTGGGTTGTGCCTTATCAAGCTGACTTAAACAACTAGCTTTTTTGAAGCAGTGTATAAGCACACTTATTTCACCGTAATACTGTCAAGTTACCACTCACTTTGCAGTACACTAGCAGTGATGCATGCCGAAAAAATCTTATGGCCTTTGTCACAGTAACTAGTGATGGTCCTGTGTGTTTATGATGGGTACTGTATAATATGAATCACGATAGGATGCTACTGTTTAGCCAAATACTGCATGTTACCACAAATTAAATATCTCTCACACTAATTCTCCTATTGGTTTGGAAGAGGGAATGAACATAAAAGAGGATTATGAATTAGCCAGGTTAAAGTTCAGATTGCAAGCATTCTGCAGTACTACTGTATAAAAGCAGGTCGATATTGTAAAAACAAAATTTACATACTCTATAAACCACCTTGCAAAGTAGCTAATATGACTAATAATGCTTATTGAATGACATAAGCCTTTGAATGACACAATAAATACATTTCACAATCCACAGGACATTCAATATCAATAAAACCCCATATGCTTTTAGGAAATTAGGAATGGTAGTCTGGATGGTTTTAAAAAGATTTAAGGTGACATTAAATCTTCAAGCAATGTCCTTTCACTTCACAAGTTTGAGACAGCCCCCTTAAAGTCAGGTTGGGAATAGAGATGGAAATTTAGGATTGACATGCGAATTGCATTTCACATCCACTTTGATTGTGTCATTGGATTGTGCTTTTTTGTTCATTCTACTGATAAGTACTGTAGATTGGGTTGTGGTTGCACCTGGTCTTCCACTTCAGGTTTAAATTTATAACTTTGAATCCCCAGCCTGTCACAGGCATTTCCAATGGGAAAAATATCATTACGGTCTTTCATTGAACAATAACATCTAAATAAAAGTTATAACTTTTTTTTGTGAAGCTGTATATTGTTTAGATATTATTACACAACATAAACAACACAAACTATTTAATTTTTAAATATGAAT